TCTCCATATCTCACACTTTTTGTTCTCAAATCCTGGATATATATATATATATATATATATATATATATATATATATATATATATATCGCCACCGTTTGCCTTGGTCATCATGACCAACGTTTCCAATGTTGAATCCATCTTTCAGCGTTCAACCTCCACTGCACCACTTCTTTCATCCCTCACCGGTCCCCCTCTATGCATCATTCCTCGATGTTGATGGACCATTCACGCATGGTGAAGACCAAAATTTATCTCATATATCATCCATCTCTCCGTCGTAAATGTTATCTTGAAGCAGTAGAAAAGAAAAGCACATGGGTTTTTTTTGGCATGTCCAGGTTAGATCTCTTACTCCCCCTTCCCATTTGTAAACATGAAAATTAGTGAAAAGTTGTGGGTTTTACCAACGATATCCACTATTATTTTCTTTCTTACTGATTGACAGAGTATTAATTTTTAGGTTTGTGTTTGTGGGCTCGATGATCTCAATTTCTTGCATTTGAAGCCCCAATTTGGTTTTATATTTGTTATTTTCAAATGAACTTTAATTTATTGTACTGTTTTTTTTTTCAATGTATGCAAGTCAAGAAGAAGGAGACCCTTGAAGCCTTCCCCCATAAACACATAAAATACGGTACCTTCTCAACCCACTCTTCAGAAACCATAATCGCACCACTGTGACAATCATTTCCCCCTATTGGTAACCCTGAAATCGTTGGTCTTTCTGATCTCTACATCTCTGACCTCGGTACCAAGAACATGATTAAATAAATACAGGTAAAAATTATGCAAATTTCTCTTCGTTGGTGTATAGTTGGGAGGTATACAGTCTACGTTTGTAGGGTGTGTACACCTTCGTTTTCATGTAGACTTCTGCACTGAGTTCAAATGACGAGAAGATTTCAAATAGTTTATTTATAGGTCTCTAGGTGTTAATGTTGATTACACTCTTCTTTTAAGTAACCTGATTTTTTTTTTTTTGTCTAAGGCTTTAAAGGCTCACACTTTCTCAATCTCATATTCCATAACTCTTTTTAGTTTACCGGTTTCAGGTCTTCCACAAGCAGTCGATTCATGGAGATATCGTCCTCTTTATTGCTTGCTTTGATAAAATCTAGGTAAACTCTCTCTCTCTCTCTCTCTCTCTCTCTCTCTCTCTCTCTCTCTCCCCTTGACTCCTCTCTTTTTATTGCTTAGAGAACTGCAAGGTATACGTTTTTTTCTTACTTTGACAAGAAACCTAATAATAATCCTAAACGACACATAAAACATTTGTTTATTCCAGAAATTTCTTGGATTTATTGACATCGGCTCCTAGATTTTGGTCAAATATAGAACCGGTAGAGATAATGTACCAGAAAGACAATGAAGATGTTAATATCATTATAAAGTTTCCAGGTTTGACCCAGTAAGCACATCCATGTCATTCTAATCTATTTTGATTTACCTTTCACTATTGTTTTCTTTTATCTTCCCATTTATTTTACTTTTGGTTTCTCTTCTGCCTGAAATAAAAGACAAACAGATGAAGACCTGAGATGGAGCTCCAACATAAGGAATCACAAGTCCTAACTTGGATAATAGGGTAAATTTTCTTTTGTTGTTATAATTTAGTATATAATTTATTTGTGCTTTTAGCCCTTTTTTAGGACAATCATTTGCATATGAATTGGGAAAAATTCATTCTACTATTATAATTTTTGATATAAAATTATTTGATCACTTGGTGATGTTTGTTTACCTTTTATTATTCATACTAAGTATATAAATGTCACAGGTTTATGGTAATCTGTAGGAAGTGAGTAATCAGGTTTTGTGGTTGCTGGATTTGGACCTGGATGACATTTTTACCAATATTGTATTTTGGTTGTGGATGATATAACACTTGACTCTGTATTAGGTTAATATAACTGATACCAAATTAATATTGTTTTGTATGACTGAAACCTGATTAATTGGCCTCTCTTATTGTTTTTTCGATATCCATGAGATTAAACACATCCCAATATATTTATTATGGATGGGATGTGTTGATACATAGATGTTTACACAGGTTAATGATGCATGGAAGTGTGTGTGTGTGTGTGTGGCACTGCACGACAATTTGTTTTTTTTTTTTTTTTTGAATTATCAACTATAACTTAGGGTAAGCCAAATGAATATCTGAAGGATGAAAGAAAAAAAGTTGAGCTGAAAAATGACAGTCTATAACAAAGATGACTATGAAGAAAAAAAGCATTTATCTGTAGAAGAAAAGCTACCTAATTTTTTGAATGATCAATTCATAAAAGTTCAAATCTTCGTGCTCAAAGGTTTTTATTCAAAGGACAACTGGATTGATTTATTCTTTTTTTTTTTGCATCCCTAAATCGGTATTTAGTTTCATCTTTATTTTGTTTCAAGTTGTATAGTATTTTGGTTCTCGGAACATTTCATTTTGTAGGTGATGACCTAAAGGTAAAGAAATCCCAAGTGTTGTATGACATGCCATTACAACATCCTATTTTCACAATTCGATAAAGCTTTAGTTTCTTTACTTTCGTTTTGTATGTTTGAGCAGAAGCCCATGAAACTGGTAATGGATAAAAGCCGGATTATATGGAAAACGGATTTTATGAAAGTAAAAACATTATTTTTTATCATCTTTATAGGTATTACAAATGTAGTTTTAGGGAAATGATTTGGAGATGCCTATATTTCTTCTTTTAGTAGCCCGTTATGGATTTGGATTTTGATTTGGATTTGAAATTCTTTGATTAATACTGGATTGTTGTTATCTATATGAAAATATAATGGATTGTATTAATGTTTAAAGTATTGAAAGCAACAAACTTGAAAATATAATGGATAGTTTTTACCGGATTGTTGTAAAATACACGTTTTGAGATCGTATTTTATATAAATAATATTATGAAATATTATGTGATATTGGGTATTAAGTTCTAACAGATAGTTTTTACTAGAAATAAGGTAAAACTATGTTTAGAATCACTCATAAATTATTGGAAGTCTTATGAGATTCCAATTAAAAGCTAAATAGTGAAATTTAGCGAAAATATAAAAATTGAAATAAGTAAAATTTTATTGTTGAAATTTGTAGATAATCTCGTTAGAAACGTATAGGCGAAAACCTCATCGAAATCCAAGTTGTAACGAAGAAGTTATGACCAATCGAAGATCTGCGATAATACCGACACGGTGCCGAATGCAGTAAAAAGTGAGTTTTTGATAAACTACTTTTTAGCCTTAGTGATCTAAATGAAAGTCGTAGTATTCGTTAAACCGAGAAGTTCGATAAAAAGAACGCCAAAATCTGACTTCGTATGAGGAAGTTATGATTTTTACAAGTTTCAGCTTAGCAGTAGACAGCTAAAAACTCGAATTTTAGATCGAGTGATTTTTAGCCGACACAACCTAAACGAGAATCGAAGGTCTGTCATTAGTAGTACAACGATAAAAAGTCTGACGAAAACGGACGTCGGATGAAGAAGTTATGATTTTTTAACGGATTTACCAGTCCCAGTCTGTTAAAAATAATAATATAAAAATAAAGTCAAAATTTTCCAACGAAGTCTAAACGAAAGTTGTAGAGCATAATTTTCTCTACGCGTGCATATAAAGAACGTCAAAAACGGAGCTCGTAAGAGAAAGTTATGGATTTTACAAGATTTGGCACAATTTTCGAGAAAAATCGCATGAATAGTGATTGCCACGTCATCCTCGCTCGGAGCTGGCCACGTGTCCGAAGCTGCTACGTGGCAGGTCCGAGAAGCGACGCGTGTCGCACAGGTGTCCGAAGGAAGCCACGTGAT